AAATTAGCTCTGAAATCAATGTCTATGTGGGTTTCTTGGCATAATATCGATGAAAAATTTAATAATAATACCTTTAGATATTTTGATAAAACAAAGTGGTATGATGTAACGATAGAAAATGGAAATTACACTCTTCGAGAACTAAATAACTTTTTACAAAAATTCTTTGGAATACCTCCTATAAAGTTTGGAATTCATTTTGCAACAACGAGATTTATAATTCATTTAGAACCTGGATATAAAATTGATCTGAGTAAAGGTAAACTCCACGAGATATTAGAACCAAAGATATATGAAGATAAAGAACCAAAGATATATGAAGATGAAGAACAGAAAGGAAAATACATAACAAATATTTCAAAAGGAATCGATGATATTCATATTCATTGCGATGTAATCAGTGGAGTAGAGTACAACGATTTCACGAGTGATATTCTTTATTCTTTTACACCGTCTCATCCACCTGGAAGTTTGATAAAAATTGAAGAGATTAATCCCATATTTGCTGACATCAATAGAAATCATTACATTTATAGAATTCGAATGTGGATAACTGATCAGGATGATAAGTTAATCGATCTTAATAAACAGAGAGTTGTTTTTCGTTTAATTTTAGACTAAATAAATGAATTATAATAAACATAGACTGTTAGTTCGAAGTAAAAAATATTATGGAGGAAATATATTTATCGATGCAATTAAAACGGTTGGTAAGAAATTATTACAAATAATAGGCAGCCATGTTGAGGATAAGACGAAGCAGTTTGTAAAAAATAAACTTGTATCTAAAAAATCTCCGACTATAGAAAATAGAGTAAGGAATATTATAAGTAAGCAAAGTTTATATAGAACAGGATTCAAGAAATTTTTATACTAATAAATGGAAAAGATTTGGGATTTATCTCTTCCTAATTATTACAACAATGAAGTCGAAAGTTTTGAGTACAAACAGCATAGAAAAGATAAAGTTACTGTCGATGAGAAGGAATCAGCGAAATATGAATTTAACATTAAAGATGTAAATGATATGATTTTATATTCCAGTGTATAAATCTGCCCAGAACTGAAAATTATGAAACAGGATTGTTCTTCGATTAGAAGTGATAACGTAACCTTGGAAAATACTGGAAATTTATTCTCCAGATCTGAATTACACATTGGTAAGACACTAGTTGAAGAAATTGAATTACCCTCATTAGTTCATCACATTAATGGTCTTATAAACTTTACAAAAGATTATTCTACTTCCGAAGCAACCAATATGCTGTTTTTCATTGACACCTCAGAATCACCAGATAAGCNTTTTTTTTCAGTTTACAGCAGTATTTATTACACAAAATTTAAGTAAAGCTTAACATGCCGATCTTGCCCCGGTCTCCCCTACATCTAATATTACCAAGAAATCAGTCCCCAGTGTACTGGGCTAGGGATTGGTTTAATTAAATTTTCCTTTAAGTAAAATATACCGACTCTTGAAGCGGTGTTTTATTTATGTCCCTAATTCCCTAATCTCTTAATTATTTAACTACTTCTTAAGGTAGAAATTAGACGAAATCGGTTACTTTGTACATGAATATTTGTTGTTTTCGGAAAGAAATTTGCGTACTAAAACCTTTTTTTAATGTTTAACAGATTTCTCGGAGGGCCCTTTTCGAATTTTAGTGAATTTTAAGAGGCCCGAAGACCGAGGAAGAAGCCCGAGAAGCGAGAAACGAACTTAAATACATTCGACCCCCTATAACACTGTTGATAATACCGCTTTACATGTAGATTGGAATTCATATACCGCTTTATATGAATTCCATGTTGTACGAGTCACTTAGATTTTACAAATACGTGAGCCGTTCACAGCCAGGCTCACATTTTAAATTCATAAATATAAAA